CTTAATTACAATCAACAGTCGGAATGAATTATTCTTTATTTCCGTTTTATGTAAGAAAACCGGCGGCTGTTTTTATAACATTTAAACTGGAAATTAACCATTTGCTTCTATACGCATTTAAAACCTGCCGCAATAAGACGGGTCGTAAATAAACAATGTACATTGTACAACGCAAAAGGTAATGGTAAAAATGGGAACATTTTATTTGGAGGTACAAAGACGGTGATGCTAATTACACGTCAATCAATTGTTAATAATTAACAAGAAAACAAATGTTAATGCTTAATTAGTATTCATTCATCATTATTGGCTTTCATTGTGTTCTGTCAAATCACGTAAATTACAGGATGCAAAATGTAATGAGCTTTTGTACGTTTAAAGTCTGTGTATTGCATATTATGCATGCATTCACTTCCATCCATTCACAAGCTGTAGGTATTTTAAAGAAAAAGTAATGTTCAGGCACGCGTTAAGAAAGCGAAAGATGATCCACTGAAAAACGAATGTTCATTAACTTCAACAATTAATGTTAGTAGTTCACGCTTTGTGAACACATAAAATCGTTAAATACATTTCTGTACTATGGAAGCATATAAACGTCATTAATCTTCAACGGTGGTCCCGATGCTGAGATGCAATAAAGCATGGAGTAAAATTCCCTCATCATCTTCATTAATGTACCAGATTTACCTTTCTGTTATTGGAATTTTTATTCGCATGGATACAATGAAAGCTGAAGGACAACGAAAATGTTTGGTCATATTTTCTATAGTAATTTACATTAACTATTTTGCACTAGATATTATCTGGAACAAGAGAACAATCCTCAAATGCATTAGCGGTACTTTGTTAAATATTAGGAATGAATATATGCGAAATTCTTCAATACCCACGGTTCATTTCCATACGAATTGTTTTATTATTTATTACATACTTAAATTAACAAAGAAATAGTTTGTGATCAATATTGCTATGGGAAAATTACTTTAATAAAAGTAAGAGAAAAAATTCTCTCTCTGAACCTTAATTTACATACAAAGTCAAAAATATTATTAAACAAACCGTACTCATGAATGCCTGACAAGGCGCTTTTTCTCTAGTTTTCGGAGAGATTTAGTTCAATAAAATTGGACCTGAAAGAGGAATGCCTCAAAGTGATCTGGGGGAGGGTGGTTCTAAAACCCTAAGATAGTTTTGAAAGCGAGTAATCCCTCAGGGGATTGAGCATAACAGTTGGTAGTTCAAAAACTTTGATTGAATACTTCAAAACCGGACCAATTTATAAGGTAGTAATCGACGGTTAAAGGACGACCCATTTGCTGACTTTCTGTCGTCTGTAGCATCCAAACTACGGGTCTTATCCCAATGTTCTTGTAATGTTGTAGATAATTTAATGGCGAGTTCAGAGAATATAAAAAGAACAAATAGAATTTTACCCCAAATTCCAAAAACAGCTTTGAAATATCCTAATAAATGTTAAAACTTTCTCGGCCTTGATGTGGATCTTCTTGGTCATCTTCCATCTCCCCCATCAATTCGTTGCTGAGGTTCAACTCTCTTCCTCCAATGGATGAGGATGGGAGTGATGAATGCTTTTTCCTCCACAGGAGCGTTGGGGTACGTATGACCTTAACAATTCAGGTAGATTCTCGAACACCGTCCCCGTGCACTCCATTCTACAATTGCAAGAGATGGAGTGAAGGCACCTCGGAGGGGTCCTTTTTTCCCTCCTACCCACCCAACCCATGTACCTAGTGGTATACGCGGAGGAAGTGCTTCTTTTCTGCTGAAGTAGGAGGGAAGGCTAAATGTTGCATTTGCCAAAGTTTTGGTAAACATCTCGTATCGCAGCTCATCAAGAGTCAAGGCTGTGCCCCTGCCAACGTTCACTCCAAGCAAGAACTTTTCGCCTGCACTGATCACCTTATCCCGGGATGCATCGGGATTTTGAAAGTTTTGGACAACATGCATCTGTAATAGAAAGCCGCCGTCAACCACAAACGCATCCTGGGAGACGTCAACAAAAGCTTCAGTTACGAGAGAAAATAAGTCATAGAAGACTTAATTCTTAGTTTTCCGCATCCATGTGTCGTCAAAATGGGACCAGGGTATGGTGCCAGATTTGAAAATTTCGAGTTGACAGATTATGGATCGTAACCTTGGATATGAGGGCTCAAAGGGGAATTACTCGGTGTTTTCCAATCAAGCAATACCACCGGCACCGTATCTTGATTGTCTAGGACTCAAGGTTATGATAATGTTTACCTCCCCCCTCCCTCAATCGCTTCGTTTTAGTGAATGTATAATTAAGAATGCTACTTATCTAGTATTTGAAGAATCTAAGTACCAAATGAATTCGAAAACAAGAATGAAGCTCAAAGAATTTGAAGAATCTGATGGATCGGAAGAATTCGATCAAGAGCAATTTCCCTAGAACCATAAATCCACAGCTAACGAACCCGAAGAATCTCAAAAGTCTTCGGAAACTAAAGAATCGAATGAATGTGAGCATCAAAAGTACATTCACAACTTGATGGATGCGAAGAGTAGGTATATGAATAATTCAAAGAAATGGATGAATTCCAAGAAGTTGATGGATCTGAAGAATCCAAAGCATCCGAAAGACCCAAAACGACTGAAAGATGTTGAATGTTTATATTCTGCAAATGATTGAAAGGAACTGAAGAATCTGAGAAATCCTAAGGATTTGAATTTTACATTTTAAAAATTTCTTCTTTTGAAGAATCTGAGGAATTCGATGTGGGAGAATCTAAAGCATCATAAAAATGCGAAGAATTGAGAATTGAGCAGATCCTGAAAATCTGAACGATCTGATGGATTAAGGGAATCCGAAGAAACCAAAAGATTTGAAGACACTGTAAAGTGTAATATGAAAAAATTATCAGTCCTCGTGTGAGATCGAAGGGACTTCAGCGCTTTTTTGTGTGGCAGATCAGTATTCTATTAGCCACCACCAATAAGATCTTGCCCCTTTGTCGGTACCCGCTTCCGACGTCCCGTTCACAGGCAATTCGCATTTGAGGTTTTGACGGCACCATCAGTAAGCTCTTGTTGGGGGCAACCACGCATCTTTTGCCGGTATCCGCTTCCGACGTCCCGTTTACACGCAATTCGCACTTTGCTGGATTTCACTAAAAACCCTCCACAAAACAGTACTCATTTTTTGAGGCACTTCTCATAGCTTGAGTTTCTATTGACGACACGAGAAAGGGAGAGAAACTTATAGGCCCCCAAAGTCGACTACCCCTCGAAGACGCGTTCCTTACGGTGGTTAGTTTTGCCCCTAGGGGAAAAAATTCGATCACGCTACAGTTGTGCGCGTTTACAAGATTTTTCCGACGTGAAAGTTAAGAATCCAAGGAATTGTAAGATCCGAAAGAGCCTTCTGGATCTGTAAACATGAAGAGAATCAGAAAAATTAGAAGAAATGAAAGAATCCGAGATATAATATATAATTAAGAAAATGATATATCTGAGATATTAAAAGAGTCAGGAAACACTGAAAAATCAATAAAATGGAAAAGTTATGGTAAAAATTAATAACTGCGAACGCATCTGGAAGTATCGAAAAGAAGACAGTTCTGAAGAAACGAAAGAATGCGAAAAACTTGGAGACACCCAAAGAACAGAAAAAGGGTAGTTTAAAATGTGAATCTGATTATCTTAAAATCTAAAGAAATCCAAGAATCGGAAGACTTAAAAAACTGTCTGAATAAAATCCACCTGTAGGTATCTCCGTCTCAGAAAATTTACGCCCCCAAATAAAATTCACACCTTCCGGAGTATACCCTCTCGAGCCACTCGCCGCAAAGAGAGCTCACGTTCGGGAAAGCTCGATTCCAAAGGGTGCACTAGAAGTAAATGCGCCATTCTAAAGTTCGTTTTATTACCATCTTCAAAATGTCGGGATTAGAGTGATCCAAAAATATTATCACGGGGGCATTTACCTGGGGGGTGCGAATCTTCCCGAGCGAGTTTACCCGAGCGACTTTTGCTACAGAAATAGAAGGTCTCTTGAATTTTCCGAGGGGAAACTTCTTGTGAGAGTTCTGCGGGGTCGGAATATTCTCGAAGAGCGTTTTCTTAAGGCAGATATACCGCATGTGAATTTACCTAAGGGGAGGTGGTGTTTTCTTGAAGAAAAATTTATAAGAAAAACGTCTAAGCTTACACGAAACATTCTGAATCTTCAGTTTATTAACAAAAATGCATGTTGCACTCTAGTAGTATAATTTTTTAAAAGAGAACTCATTAATCGTATAGGTACTACAATAATTTAAGAGTCAGCAAGTTATATGGGACATCATTTAGGGATTCTTGCTAACAGATAGGCCAGGAAACACGAAGTTAGTCGATAGGAATCCAATTTCACAATGGGTAAGATTTCTCATATAAAACTTCCCTTTCCGATTTCGCAGGAAAATATTAAAAATTAACAAAGCTCTATTACTTGTAAATATTCTTTGTTAAGAAAAAAATGTAATATGGTGCACCCTCGATAATCATTAATACAAAAGGCCGTGACACGTGGATTCATTATCTAAGTAATATGAAACATTTACCTGCAGGCTCGATTAAATTGATTCTTTGTTCCTAACAGATCAAGATTCTGTCGTTACTTTAGATTTTTACCTTAGTTTTATATAATTCAATGTACTGAATGAATACTGAAGGGGGTGATCCGGAATTTACAGTCTCATGCACATCTACAGGTAGTTTGTATGTTTTATTTTTCAGGTACTTTTTGCAGGCCAATACGTCGCGTGCAAATCCCATGCAAACATTAAAATTGATATCCAAGAACCGTACTAAATATAACAAATCCATTCCGCGTGTGTTAGTTACACATAAAATTCATATTCACGCGTGAAATTGTTAATAAAAAAAAATCTCACTAGGCTATAGTAACACAACTCGGTTACGTTAATATTATTTATTTTCATTGTTAAAAAGTAGTGAATGAACTTGGTTTGACCTACCTCGCCAGCTGTGTCACACAGTTCGACCCTGATTGGCCGGCCATCCACCTGTACGACCACTGCAACAAAAAAAAACATCTGAAGAACACCTTTACGTTATTACAAGATCTCTTACCCTGCAACCATTTTTAGTAGCCCGCTTTAACAACAACAAAAAGCACGACAGATGCGCGTATTTACTTAACCAAACAAAACACCACCCTACACCCTTATCCTATCTAAACCTGACAAATTTAAACTAATCGGAAATATTTAAGTTTTGCGGATTTCCGCACATTTCTAGAGCCTCGGAAGGATTACGCCCTCGGGTAAAGGCTGATTGTTATAAGCCATAAAGAATGTATTTTGTTACAACAAAAATAAAGTGGTAAGAGGAGGAGAATTTTTATGTGCATACAAGCTCCACCGGTGCGCTTATACTGATCCTTTCAATGTTATTTAAAATAATGTCGTAAAGTTTATTGTTCATGGTAATGAATACGTTGACTTTTTATGGTCCGCCCGGAATTATCTTGTTATTAACTTTTTTATTAAAGTAATCAGTTTCCAAATTGAAAGAACTACTACGTTACAAAGCTTCGTCAGTTTACAAGGAAAATTTTTGCGTCCTGACGTACAAAGTCTTATAATTTAAATGAAAGTGTAAGTAACTCAATTCACGTTAGGGAAGCGTAGCTAGAAATAAAAATTTTAATGAGCGACTGCAAGTCTTATACATTTCTCAAGTTTTGGAAGATCTTGTTTCCGAAGGGAGGGTAGAAGTTTTATAAATTTCGTTTATGATTATGAAGATATTTCATGTTTGACGAAACAATAATTGATCGTTCGCGAGGACGTTTTTGAGGCATTCGTTCATGCATAAGAAGAAACGCTCTGGGGTAGAAGTATAAACTTCGTATAAACTTGATATACTTTGGTAGTTACTAACTTCAGCTTTTCTCGCCCTGACCAAAACAACGCCCTCAAAAATTATCTTCCCTGATACATACGTTCAGAAAATCTCAAAAAGCTCTACATCAACAGAGCATCTCGACCCTAGAAAACCCTCGCTTTTATTTCTGTGACAAAATTGGCCTGTAAGGTCCCCTGCAGTTAACCTAGAAGATTCAACCTCCATATTATCGCCACTGGAAGGGGAAAGTATTTCAGAGCGAGCAAATTTTCCGAGCGCGAGTTTTCTAAACCCCTATCCGCCCCTGGGCACTCAGCATCACTCATCCCACTCCACCTCATAGTCGGACTTAATTTCACTTTGTACCTTGTCTGTATTGTGAGGAAGAAAAAATGAGTCATTCTTCGTCTGCTTCGATTGCTTAGGTAGGTACTTAAAATGCTCAAGTTTATGTTCCCTCTTTTTCTGGAATCTATCTTTTCCTACACGGCGTTTCTTGTAATAAACAAATGAGAATATTAAGTTTTATGATTTTGATTTAAAATCCCTCCCTGTTTGTCGGATCCATGATTTTCGTACTTTATCTGACCTGTTGGGTAAAAAGATCAATTTAACGTTCAGCTACAATTTGGCTACTTCTTTGTTTGTAATCCTGTCTATTCTTTCTATATTCTATCCTTAATTTACTCATTAGGAGGAGGAGGATTTTTCGGTTTATATGATTGCCGTTAGGGAGGAAAGACACCACTGCCTTTAAAATCACTATTGGAATCGTTCTATCGTAATACAGAAGAAGCATTGAAAATGATACCATAAAGACTTTCCAAATCTATGGAAAAACTTTATGAAAATTTTCTACTGTCACGATTTTTTAATGCACTCTGAAGGTTCTGTAAAGATCTTTGGAAAATTTTTAAAGATTGTTTGTACATTCCCTGAAAATCTTCACTCTCTGAATATTGTCCGAAGATACTTAAAAAAATCTCCCAAGATTGAGGGGATTGAGAGTATTTAGTCACTTGTACCTGAAGATTCTTAGAAACCGCTAATTTTCTGCTCTTATGGAAAGCAAGATGATCATAGCCAACACTTGGTTCAAACATCATAAAAGGAAACTTTACCCCGTGAAATTCACTGGAGACAGATAGCGAAGGCAGACTGATTTGATCACGATTGAAGAGAGATACAGAAATGAGTTTAAAAATGCGTGTGGATTGCCAGGTGCGGACCATGTTCCCTACACTATCCACTACAACATTGGTCCTAAAAATTTGTTTCAATTATCTATCCTGCGAAGGGGGGCCATTTTGGAAATCGAAATTGAAAAAAAAATTGAAATGTTTAGAAATTTTTGATCAATCGCTATTTTGTTATTTGAAAAAATAAAAAATAACTGCAAATACGAATACTCTTCTTTATGGTTTCGATACTAAGGAGATCGATAAGGAATGCTGTCAATTACCTTTGAGGGAGTTTCGTTCGTAGCTTCAGTTTCAACTATCCCTACATATTGGTCCATGTTCTTTTGTTGGAAATAAAATGGAAAAAGATTAAAGTCGCTAAAGAGCAAAGGAATGGCATCTGGTAAAATTAAAGGAGACGGATAAAGAACATATGAAAGGGCAATGGGAATTGAAATAAAAAGGGAGGTTGCAACGAAGAGTCATGAAACTACAGAAGACAAATGGAAGAGCATGAAGAATGCGATAATCAAAGCGGCTGAGGAGGAGGTGGGGTGTAGGAGAGGAAACAGAGCAAAGAAGCCTTGGATAACATTTGAAATGATTGAAAAGATGGAAGAAAGGAGGAAGACTAAGAGGTTGAAGAAGATAAGGGCATTCAATCGTGAAATAATAAATACTGTTAGAAATTTTAAGGGACAAGGGTGTGGATTAGAAAGAGAGAAAATTGATCTGCAGCTTATTTTAAGGACAATTCAAAAAAACAAAAATTGTCAAAACTATCTTTCAGCTCACTAAAACATATATTGTATTTACAATTATTTTTTATTTTTGAAAATAATAAAATAGCGATTGATCAAAAATTTAAAAAATATCATTTTTTGATAACCACGCCATCGATTTTTGACAGCAAAATATTTATAAAATCCCTACACTATCCACTACAACATTGGTCCTAAAAATTTGTTTCAATTATCTATCCTGCGAAGGGGGGCCATTTTGGAAATCGAAATTGAAAAAAAAATTGAAATGTTTAGACATTTTTGATCAATCGCTATTTTGTTATTTGAAAAAATAAAAAATAACTGCAAATACGAATACTCTTCTTTATGGTTTCGATACTAATGAGATCGATAAGGAATGCTGTCAATTACCTTTGAGGGAGTTTCGTTCGTAGCTTCAGTTTCAACTATCCCTACATATTGGTCTTTCATTTAAATTAGGATATTAGACCACTCCAAAAATCTCAACGAAATCATCACGAATAATTCAAATCAACCTATTTCTGCGTGAAAACTTCCAAAAGGAATAACTTGAAAACACTTTAGGTGTTAGTGTATAACGACAAAGAAGTTATGTTCAATAATTATTTCACATTATACTATTTATACTATAAAGGGATGGCGATTTCGTTACATCTTGATTGTACGTACAATATTGACGGCAAAATAAAGAAATTCATCTGATCTTACAATAAGAAAATCAAAGTAACCGCTATAGTAACAGCTCGGCATCTGCAATCGAATAAATTGCATGATCACGTAACTAACCGTTTAAAAATTCGCCAGCGAAAGATCTAGAGCAGAACAAACTAAAGTTATTTTTAAAAAGTTATAAAAGCCCGTTGAAAAATGGCAACGTTCCCCTTACGTGATTATATCTTTCTTTATAACACTATGGTAGTCGGGAGTGATTATTAATACTAACAATGCATTATCACGTTCATGCTCCCTCTTTGTCGGTAATTTATCAAAAAGTGACTAAATCACATTTATTGGTTTAAGCATTACGCACTCTAAAAGTAAACAGATTTAAGTAAATATCGTACCGCGCTCGCCCGTTTAAATTATACCATACCTGCACAAGTGCTGATTTTAATTATGCATAGGGTGGGGTGCCGTGAAAATTGTCAAAAGGGCAGAGACACAGCATCAATTGCGGTACGCGTAGTGAAATTAAAGCGTAACAAATTACGTACGTAATTGTTTGCAGTACGGCGTAATCTCGGAGAAGTGTATCAAAGGGTGGAAATAATATCCCGAACTCATGTGGCCAGCTTCCCTTATTGCTGACATGGCAGGAGTTTTTAATTTAGAATGTAGATCGATGCCCGTTTTTCCCTTACTGTCAACATTAAATTCACACTTGTGCTCTTTTAGAGTGAATCCGAAGGGAGTAATATAAGAGGACAGGGGCGGCAATGTGAATAATTAGAGAACGCAGGTGCCCCAAATGCAAGACGCCTATTGACGTAAAAAAATATTTGGTCTCGTCATTACCTTTTTTCTCGTGGACGAGTTTTTCGAAAAAGCTCGTTGCGTTTGAAATGATAATACCTCCCAGATAAATCTCTAAAGTAAGATCTATAGCCGTGGGAAATAAATCACTTCTGTCTTTATACTCCAATCCGTTTCGAAGCACTAGATTTTCTATTCGAGAGATGTTAACAGGAAGAATTTTTTTCAATCTCCCGATTTATTCAATACCGAACGACCGTCTTTAATCCGCGCATTTTATCTGTAGATACGAAGTCTACTTTGATAATTTGATTCATGATAGTGAGGATATAAATCAAATTACGTATATTCCTGGTTCATAATCTCGTAATCTGGGACATGTGCCTTTATCATTATTTATCGTTAGAAACCCTAAACGTCTTGTTCCTATAAGTTTGGGGATGTTCTCGTGCGAGGAGTTTAAATTATTTTTTATAAAGCAATTTACCATATATCACAAACTGTCAAGCCAGCAGAAATCTTTTGAAGACAATGTAATTTTCCCAGGGAGAGACAAAAAGTAAGGGCATTTTTTCTAAATCGCCCCGAATCTTTTATATTTCTACCTATAATATTATTGTTCCTAAATATTTGATTTTAGGAAAAATAAACCTTCTTGATGCTGTTCGTATACCCCTTGGAAAAATAAATTATTTTGTAGAATAACGGGCATATTTCTGCTTGAAATATCGTAATGCTGTAGATCGTTTCATACACTGCGTATTTGAA